TGTACAAAACATGCCTTGCAAGATATCATTTGAAAACTCATCACTTGATGATAAGTGATATCAGGGTAGAATGCATATCGCAATATGTGTAAAGTGATGAACATAAGATGAAATCATGACTAAAGTGTGTTTCCCAGATAAATCTGGGGAGAGGCTAAACCAGTTTCTCAAAGACAAAGGGCAAGCTGATGCCCCAGCCAGGTGTCAAGAACACTGATGGACTATCACCTATCAAATGGCCATTCTTTGGCAAGAAAGGGGGGCAGGGAGAAAGAGGTCTGCATCTTAGGCTATGTCTATTCTACTGCTTATGTTGAAATAACTTATGTCACTGCAGGTAGGGGTGTGTGTGAGAGAGAGTGACATAAGTTATACAGACATAAGCGCTGGTGTAGCCAGTGCTGTGTCAGCGAGAGAGCTTCTCCCACCGACATAGCTACTGCTGCTCACAGGGGCTGGAGTAGTTAAACTGAGGGGAGAGCTCTCCCATCAGGTTAGAGCGGCTACATTAGAGAGCTTGCAGTGGCACAGCTGCATCGGTGCAGTTGTGATGCTGTAAATTCTCTAGTGTAGCCATGCCCTTAGCAAAGAAACAGTATGAGGTCTCCTTCCTCCACCAGACCCCGTCTCTTGGTTCTCAGCTGGAAATGCTTTTCAAAGAGGGACCGAAATTATAAAAAGGAATGGCAAACATCCCCAGACATCCCTCTCTCTCTCCCTATCCATCTCACTCTTCGCACTTGAGAAGACAAAAGAAGCCGCCATTGGACTCTGGGGGAGGGGTCCTAACCTGAATAGTTTGGTCAGTAATACTGTTGAAAGTATGTGGTGAGAAACTTTGCTTTAAATCTAACATAGCTTGTTGAATTAGAGGAAGTGTTTTGTCTTTATTTTTCTTGTAACCATTTCTGACACTTATGTCTCTTCGCTTCTACTCACTTAAAATCTATCTCTTTGTAGTTAATAAATTTGTTTTATCTAACTCAGTGTGTTTAATTTAAGCTGTCTGGGTAACTCTAAGGTAACAAACTAGTGTATATTATTCCCTTAAAGGAATAACAGACAGTACAGTTGAACTGACCAAGGGACGGCTGGGCAGTACAGCACATACATTTCTGGGGGGAAATGTGTTGAAATAACTTTTGGACTGGGAATGTGTTGGGGTCACCCTGCAGAAGTAACCAAGGCTGGTAAAAGCCAGAGTATAACCCAAGTGTGACTGGCAGGTTGCAGTTACACATAGACCCTCTGGGTGTGGCTTGCATGCTGGAAGACTTTGTGAGGCAGCAAGACATTTTAAGGCACCCAAGTGTGACAGATTTCTGTTACCAATCTGCCTGAGGCATTAGGTGATCAAGCTGAGGCCACAGGATCGTTAGGGGAGGAGATGAAGGAGCACACCAAGTGACTAATTTTAAAGCTTTATTAATAAAATAACAGCGGTGAGTGCGGGGGATCCCCACATCACTCAAAGGAATGAAGAAAGCGTTAGTGCCCGTGTCCTAACCCACTTTCATACTCAGACATGCATAACTCAAGGCTGGCCAAGCCTGGGTGTAACGTAAGAAGAGGAGGAGGAAGGGTGAAGTTCTGTCCTGTGCACAGGCCATCCAGGGTCCTCTGTTGATCTCCGACTTGCTTTGGCTCTCAGGAGGGTTTTTAAGTCCTGGGTTCTTTTGGGGGCGTTTCATTCAGGGACCTCTGTCCCCCGTGCTCTTTGTCCCAGTCCAAACTGGCTTTCTGCGGCTTCCTCAGCTTTCCCGAAACACACCGGCTTCAGGGATGCGAGACTTTGTTTTCCCCCCTCGCTGGCCTTCACTGTCTCGCTAGTTTTTGCAGCCCCTGCAGTTCTGTTCAACTGAATCCTCCTTTCTACAGCTGGTCGGGGTTGGAATCCAGGCCTCCGTCTTTCTTGGCAGGCAGCTGAGAGTTGGTTGTGTGCTGTGACTTTGGGCTGGAGTCAGCGTCTTATCTTTGGTCCTAGCTGGAGCGTCAAGTTATCCCATTCCTTTCTCCCTTCCTTCCCCTTCGGCCTCTTGCAACCTGCAAAGGAATCTTTCACTCCACACTCACATCTTTAACCCTTCCCAAAATGCCTTCCGATGCCTGCAACAGCGTTAGCAACATATAATGTTGATCTGCCTCCCCAGGGGACCCCCTGAGGGAGGGGGCCATTGGGTTGTGACACAAGGTTGCACAGAGGCGAGACACAGTCCCTCACTGGTCTAGATTGCACCCGGTATATGAAAGTTATCTAATGTATCCACAAACAGCAACAACAAGCCATATATTTTCACTGAGCAATGATTTATATTTTTTTTAATTCAACAACTAATTACAACCCTATAGTAAAATTCCACCTTCTTTTGTATTCAAGCCATCACAGCTCATACTGTGTACAGATATCTTTTATATAGATACAATAACTCTTCACTTAAAGTCATCCCAGTTAACGTTGTTTCATTGTTACATTGCTGATCAATTAGGGAATATGCTCGTTTAAAGTTGTGCAATGCCTCCTTCTAAGGTCATTTGGCAGCCGCCTGCTTTGTCCACTGCTTGCAGGAAGAGCAGCCCATTGCAGCTAGCTGGTGGGGGCTTGGAACCAGCGTGGACCGGCAGCCCCCATATCAGCTCCCCGGTCCCCTAAGTTCCCTGTGCAGCAGCTGCCCAGCAGGCTATCAGTTGCCGACAGTTCAGCTGTCCCTTCCCCCACTGGCATGTGCTGCTCCTGCCCTCTGCCTTGGAGCTGCTCCCCAAGACTCCTGCTTGCTGTGTGGGGGGGAGGAGAGGAAGAGGGGGGCCCGTCAGGGTGTCCCTCTCCCCCCTGCTCTTGCACCCCACTTACCCCATCTTCCATAGAGCGGGGGGACACACGACAGAGCTCAGGACGGAGGGAGCTTGCTGGCAGCAGCTGCGGTCTCAGCAAGCTGATCTAATTAACAAGGCAGTGTACTTAAGAGTAGGGTCAGCGTACTTAAAGGGGAAATGGGCATCTCTCTCACACACGGTGTGTGTCTCTGTCTTTGTCTGCAATGCTGTCTCCCCTCCCTCCATTCCTGCTGCCTTGTAGAGTGTGAGAGTTAACCATTGAGGGCTCATCCAATTGCTAGTTCATCATTTAGCAGTAAGGCATTCCCTGGGAAATATCCCACCCTCTGACTCCTCCACCTCAACCAGGCTTCACAATCATCATCACTGTGTACCAGTATTACATTGATTGTTTAAAACTTATACTGTGTGTGTGTATATGTATGTGTATATATATATTTTTTTTCTTTTGTCTGGTGAAAAAAATTTCCCTGGAACCTAACCCCCACATTTAAAATAATTCTTATGGGGAAATTGGATTCCCTTAACATCGTTTTGCTTAAGTCGCATTTTTCAGGAACATAACTACAACGTTAAGTGAGGAGTTACTGTATGCCTTATAACAAATCTATGAGTTGTGAAAATATATGATAATCGCTTAACTGCAACACTTGACTCCATCATCACATATCCATTTTCTCTGATTAGCAGACCGGGCACTTCCATTCGGCAAAAGATAGAAAGGTTGAAGTTGTGCACACCAGGAAACAAGCCCTACAAATCTTTGAATAGTATCATGGCAGTCCAAGGGCTGGACATCAAGGAATAGTCAAAATGAGAATTGCACTGACCTCAAGATACTATTGGCCAGGAATGATAAAAAACATCCCAGACTGGGTATGTAAAGTAATTAAATAAAATGCTGAAATATTTAGTTTAAATGTAAATACAAATTTTAAATTTGCAAATAAAGATATTTATACTTTTTGTGTAACCAAGTGTAAACTCAGTTCCTTTGCAATAATATTTTAATACATGAATGCTAATGTCATATTATTCACTCCAAACTAGGTTGAGAGATGTCTGCATTGCCAGAAAATGGGAAAGGAATTAAATTTGGATACCACCTTGAAAAGCATAAAGGTGGATTTTGGAGGGGTAGACATCTACTACCTATCTTTTGAAATTTTTTTTGCATCCTTTCCATTGTCGATGCATTAGGAATTGTCTCAGTGCAGACTACATTTATGTGGTACAAAGTCTTATTCCTTTCCATAGAAAGCAGTAAGGAATCTTTTAAAGAGTGATAATTGTTTATCATTATCCATGCTGCTTATTGCTACACAATGAGGCATGACGTAGTGCAACAATGACCTCTATTGCTCTTTGGCATGGTGTATTTCTGTAGGTTATTCTTGTGTCATTTTTCCTACCCCTATTCCTATAGTTCTTTTGTTTTGTTTGTTTTTGTTTTCAAAAACAGAAATTAGATTCTTATTAGGTGGTTGGGGAAACCACATTACAGTGTTTACTCGCAAAAAGAACAGGAGTACTTGTGTCACCTTAGAGACTAACAAATTTATTTGAGCATAAGCTTTCGTAGGCTACATCCCACAAAAGCTTATGCTCAAATAAAGTTGTTAGTCTCTAAGGTGCCACAAGTACTCCTGTTCTTTTTGCGGATACAGACTAACACAGCTGCTACTCTGAAACCAGTGTTTACTCTGTTTACTCTATGTGGGCTTATTGCAGGGGTGGCCAAACTTTTTGGCCCAAGGGCCACATCCATATATAGAAATTGAATGCCAGGCCATGAATGCTCGCGAAATTGGGTTTGGGGTATGGGAGGGCAGGAGGGCTCTGGGGTGGGACTGAGGGGTTCGGAGGGCAGGAGGGGGATCAGGGCTGGGGCAGGGAGTTGGGGCATGGGACGGGGTTGGTAGGCAGGCTTCAGGCAGCGTTTACCTCAAGCAGATCTCAGAAACAGCGGCATGTTCCCCCTCCAGCTCCTACGCAGAGGCGCGGCCAGGCATCTCTGCGTGCTGCTCTGTCCGTAGGTGTTGCCCCTGCAGCTCCCATTGGCTGCAGTTCCCAGACAATGGGAGCTGCAGGGGTGGCACTTGGGGTGGGGGCAGCATGCAGAGCCCCCTGGCTGCCCCTACGCGTAGGAGACGGAGTGGGGGGGGACATGCCGCTGCTTCCGGGAGTCGTGTGGAGTGGGGCAAGACCCCAACCCTGCTCCCTGGCTGGAGCGGGGCAAGCCCCAGACCCAACTTCCCGGTGGGAGCTCAAGGGACGGATTAAAATGTCTGCAGGGCCGTATGTGGCCCCCGGGCCGTAGTTTGCCCACCTCTGGCTTATTGAGAATATTTAATAAGAGAGATCCAAAATAACCTGTACCTAGGACAATAGGCCTTGGGAATTGGTGGGAGTTGATGTAATTAGGGCCATTACCAGCAACAAACAATGGATACCAGTATATCTTGACAGTCATGTATTATCTTCCAAAATGGGTGGCATAAATCAGCACATGAGGTGGGAAAGAAAATCTGTAAAATTATAAATTGATTTGGATGTCTACGGTGAATATTGACGGATCTTGGTTCTGAATTCAGTAATGAGGTAATGACTTATTTTTTAGATTTTTGTTCACTATTTCTTCAACCACACTATCGGGTCATAGATATTTGACACTGACTATGGGCTTCATTGTCTTCATGATTTTTTTTACTGTAAATTGTTGATGACACATTTTTCTGTCTCCTTACCAATTTTTTTTATAACAAACTGATTGCAAACTTATTTTTCCATGTAGTCATTCTAAAAGATAGAATAGGAAACCATAGTAATTACGTGTAAAATCAATTTAAAATAGGAGAAGGAACATACATGCAGACATTTCCAAAGGAAACTTTATGGCATAATTTTATTCTTTCACTTTAACCTGGCCCTTTGTGGGGAAAAATGGGGATATAACATAGCTTCATCAGCTCATACCACCCACAAACCAATGGACTGGATGAAAACAACAAATCCATCAAATTTTAGAGGGGGAAATTTCAGTACTAAATACAAGTAGCATGCACCAGGCCATTAGCTACATATTGGTAATACCTCTTCAAGATCAATTTATTACATTGCAACTCTTTTTATTGTATCAAATGTGAAATTAAAAATAATCAAAGCTCTGCACTGTGATGTCCTCCTCCTCAGACCTTCTTGATTCCATATAACCTGTCTCAATCAAGACATCATGTTAACTATTTGTTTTCACAAACTAATCAATCACCATTTCTTACAGAGCACTGTGGAAGTTGGTTGATAACACTGGGAGTAATTGGGATGAATTTTTTTATAACATTTTCTTTTCTTTTAAATTTAAACTGCAAATGAGAACAAAAATGTCATCCTTTCAACTGTAGTATGGCTTTGAAGCAACATTTCCAGACAAGGGCTCAGAGAATTATACAGTAAGTGTATTTAAATACCATCAGTACTTAAGTACTAAGTAGTAGCAAACACAGTGCTATGTAGGGGAATGAGTAAATACGGTAAGCATGTACTGAAATTGGGAAATACAGTTGTAGCCAATTAGTTCATTTAATCATCTATTTATTATTATGTCATGTGGTCTGGTCAATTCATATGCTATTTCATACATAATCAAATAGATTTAAGTTACTAGGCCATAGTCTTAAGCATGCTTGACATGAGTGGGTGATTTAGGAATAACCCTACACCAGTAAGGTCATGAGATTACTGCAAAAGATGTGCCAATAGGTAATGTTATGAAAAAAACAGATTTAAATTAACTGCAAGCTGTTGTCCAAGATCATGAGACACCTGATTGTAACATCATGGAAAGTCCTGTCCTGACTGCAGGGTACATGTTATGCATAGATACTAATGAGAATAAGAGGAACTAAAAACAAACTATGTAAAATGAGGCACCCCAATATTCATGGGGTGTGGAAGTACAGATAAGGAAAAGAGGGTTTTCTGTAGAATATCTTTGAGGATGTGAGTATGACTAAATTCTTAGTCATTGCATGCATTTTTGTAGGATTTACATGTGCATGGGTAATTGTAACTTTACTTATTGCTTTAATAAAACTTGTAGTACCGATAAAACTTGTGAGTATATCTGTGGTTACTATCCTTGGACTTTGTGCGTTTCTAAAGTCTCCACATTTGAGAAGCGCACCAGAGGTAATGTTCACTTTGAGCTTGAAACTGTAGCAACAGGAGTTGAACCCATGATAGTGTAATACAAAATTACTAAATTCAATTTAAATAAAAAAAGGCTACACAGTGTAATCTAGATTGCATGGTTTGCCTAATTGACAAGTACAACTGCATTTTTCTTTTTTCAAAGAACACAGACTGGAATGCAAAATGATGTATTATTTCTTCCTTACAATGCACCAGGTCACTGGGTTATTGCAGTAAGAGGTTTTCTATTGTTATACTTTGGGATTGTATCCACTAATGTAGTACTACATAATAGGATTCAAATACAGCTGTGATATAATTTCTTATATTTTGTGGGTTTTCAATAAATTTAATAGATACAAATGAAAATGGAACTTCAATGTAAGGCTTGAAATGCTGAGGACTGCAGTTTAAAAAATAAAATGCTAGTCTAAAGAATTTGTTGTTAGATTGGTAATGTATATTTAAAAAATACACAAAGAAATTCACAATATGATTTTCTCTTGTGTATTAGTGAGATATTACACAAGTATCTGCATGCAATGTTTTGGAAAATCATTATAAAATTGTTGAAATTATATTACCAATAATGTATATATTTTTAAATTATATATTTTAAACTTGCATATAACATTCATGGAATCAAAAGAATTGTTAATAATTGAGCTCTTGTGTGATGAGTCAAGAGATGTGAAAGAACGTTCTTGAGGAACTGGAGGTGATTTTTAGGTACTTATTTTCATACTTTACAGGTAGTGTTAGTGTGAAACTATTTTCAATAAAGATGATATAGCAACAATGAAGACAATATGATCCTGATAGCTACAAATAAAAATGGAAACAACACATTCTTGTACTCACTCTGTTTAGTACTGGACATTGACTGAACTTGTAGGTTTTGAGCATGGACTAACTACTTCATTGAATGTGGACCCAAAACACTAGCATTTAGCATGAGTGTGAAGGTGGTGTTAGCAACACATGCCATAGCAAATCAAATGATATATTGCATACGACTCTATACCATAATATGAAACAGTGTGTGTGTGATATATATACTATGAGCATGAAGTAATTGCAACCATTCATTAAATAGAAAAATAAAGGAGTACTAAACATCTAGAGTACCTGTAAGAAAAAATGAAACCCACTTATAAAGTTGGCTACTATATGCCTTATACATTTCAGATTGTTCGTCTACCGAGAAACTGGAAAATCCATATTGGGACTCTGGAAAATTAAAATTGTGGAACACAGGAGACAAGCAGATGGGCACAACTGTGGGCCACTCATTCTAAAATTATTCAGTGTAAAATTTTGATTATTTCTTAATGATGTGTAATTATGATGTGTTTTCTAATTAAAAGTGTTAGTTTGTAGAAATGTATTTAGAGCATAAAGATATCAGTACTATGGAAACCACACAAGAGACTCTAACTATATATAGAAGAAAAATCACAATTCTTTAATGAAAGTCAGGTAATAACTTTGTTACAAGTACCTAGTGAGACCAGAGTATATGGGAAGATAACAGGCAGAGTGGAATAATGTCATATCACAAAGTTATCTTAATACACATACAGTAGGATATGTTATAGGTTTGGTTCTCTAACGGTCTCTCTTTATGATTAGTGAAAAATGGGGAGTGGGTAGATGGTTGACATTGAAAGAGCAATGAAATCTAATTGGATATAGTTATATCCACCAGCAGTCAACTAGAAGTTTGAGATAAATAGAACCAAATATAATTTAAAATATGACCCCCAAAAAGAAAAATATTTGCAAATCAGTAACTTAATACTTTAAATAATTGACATTCATGAATAAATCAAGATTTCTATTTAGAGTTTTGGTCATAAAGTAATCATCATTTGATTACATTATATTGATTTTGCAGAGCGCATGAAGGAGTACTGCATGTCCTGCGCCTTGTCATACACAAAAATTAAAATGAAGATTGCATGCTGGTAAGAAACACAAAATTGCATAGTTAACACCATGTTTGAACAGATAAGTAAACAGAATACTGTATGATTGTTTATAGCACAAGAATAAAAGTCATGGCCCAAGATCCATCCAGTTGCACATAGGCCTGATGGAATAGCTTCGCTAAGGATCAGGATTGTTGTAATAATTCCTCATTAGTAAATATTTCCACTGCTGCTGACTTAGTTTCACTAATGATTATATGTTCAAGGAATATTATTTTATAATTGTATGAATTAATTGAAATTATATTTAGCATAATTAGTTCTGTCATAATTTTCTCATCTATTACTTATCAAAGGTACAGTTTGACTCTTGTAAGAGGTAAGCATATGTGCCCTACCTTCCAGAGAGAACCAGTGAAGACATCCTAAGTGATAAGAAGAAAGCACGACTGCAGAAAACGTGTATAGTTGGGATGTTTACAAAAGATTTATATTGTATGATTATTTTCTTAAGGTCAATATTTTTATTTTCTTGTTGGAATACAAATGTGTAATAGAGAAGTTAAATTTTAATGTTCATTTGAGTAAAGGAACAATATATGTTAATCACTGTTTCTAAAAATGGGTTTAGATGCTTGATTTTGAAATAATGTTGAAATGTAAAGTAAGCTATTCTTGTTTATATACCTTGTTATAACAAGTTTTCAAAATTTGAAAAATACCTAGATAGTAGCAAATTGTGACAAGACAGCACAACCATCTATCACAATTTGCTACCTCTGGATTAGAGGATGGGAACGGTGGAAGGTGACAAATTGTGAGAGGGCAGCAAAACAAAACCTCCCATAGGTGTCAGTAACTACTACCAATAGCAAAATGTGATGACAGCAGTTTTAGATATTACAGCGGGCCAGGGTCCCTGCTGTGCTGTGCTGAGACAAGCCGAACCAGGCTTTTTGAGAGTCTGTGCCGGACTGAGCTGAGACGTGCTGGGGTGGGGTCTGTTCTAAGTTGTGCTGAGCTAGGCTAGATGGCGGGGCGGTCTAGTCTTTGCTGTGCTGAGCCAGGTTGGGCAGGGGTGTGCGCTATGCTGAGCCAGGTGTGATGTGTGTGTGCTGAATTGTACTGAGCTGTGTTGGGTGGGGGGCTATGCTTGGCTGTGCTGAGCCATGCTGGGTTGGGGTCTAAGTTGGGCCGTGCTGAGCTAGGCTGTGGGCCTGTGCTCAGTTCTACTGGGCAAGCTGGGGCTGTACGGAGCCATGCTGGGTGGTACGAGGTTGTAATAAGCCGGGATGTGCATGGGATGCATTCTGGGCTGGACAGGGTTGAGGAGGGGGTCTGTGCTGAGGGGGGTCCATGCTGGACGATGCTGGGCAGGGGTTTGACATTGGCTGTGCTGGGGTCTGTCCTGACCCACACTGGGGGTGGGGTGCTGAACAAAGCTGGGCAGGGGCTGGGCTCCGGGGTGTGTGGGTGTGTGTGTGTGTCCCTCCAGGCTGGACTGTACTAAGCCACGCCGGGTGGGAGCTGGGCTGAGACCAATAGTGGTCTGTGTTGAGCCATGTTGGGTGGGGGTTTGTGGTGGGCTGAGCTGTGAGAGCCGGGATGGGGGTGGGTGCATCCCGGTCTGGATAGAGTGCTGTCTGTGCTGGGCTGAGTCAGGTGGCAGGCTGCGCTGGGGGCCGAGCTGGAGGTCCATGCTGAGCTCAGCCAAGGCAAGCCAAGCAGGGGTAAGAGGGCGGGTCTGTCCCATGCTGTACCGAACCTGGCTGGATGGGGGTGAGATCTATGCTGGGCTATGCTGAGATGGGCTGCATGACAGTAGGGTCTGTGCTGGATTGTGCTAAGGGCTGGGCTGAACTGGGCAGGGGTCCGTGCTGCGCCAGGCTGAGCAAGTGTCCGTGCTGTACTGCGCCATGCCGCGTGGGGAGCTGGGCTGGGCGGGAGTCCGTGTTGTGACGGGCCGGGCGAGCTCCGAGCTGTCAGGGGCTGTCCCCGGCGCTCGCTCCTTGGGCACCGCCGGGTACCGCTAGGGGGCGCTGGCCACCCCCTCCACCCCCCGGGGCTGGGCCTCTGCTTCGGGGAGAGCCGCGGCCGGGCCGCGCATGCGCCGTGCGCGGAGCCAGGCGGCGGCGGCAGCGATGGCTCTGCAGTGACGGTTGGCTCTAACGGTTGCTATTGACATTGCGGCGCGCAGCGGCCAGCGGATTCTGCCGAGCGCCCAGCAGGGGAAACGATTGGCTCCGCGCAGGAGGCCGCGGTCGCGGCGCGGTGATGCGGCGGTGCTGAGGCCTGGTGCATCCGCCCCCTCTCCTGCTGTTGGATCGGGAGTCGCGGTCCGGGCCGCCGCCGCCCTGCGCTGGGCTCGCGGTTCCTTCCCGCCCTGCGCCCCCATGCGGGGCCCCTGCTAAGCCGCCGGCGGGACGGGTGAGGGCGTGTGGCCGACAGGAGCAGGCCCGGCGGGCGGGCGGCCCGGCATGGCCCGCAGCCTGGAGTAGCGCCGCCGCCGGGCCCGCTGCAGGCGGAGGAGGAGCCTCGCGGCCGCCGGACAAGCCAGGCCCCGGCCCCGTGACACTGCCGGAGAGGGCCGGGCGGGCCCTGCGGGGCGACGAGCGAGCCCGGCGCAGCGCGGCCCTTCGCCCGCCCAGCCCGCGCCGGGCAGCGCTGCGGCCTCCGCGCCCCGCTTGGGCTGCCGGTCGGCTCCAGGGGCCCCGGACCCCCGCTGACTCTCGGCCGGCGCGGACTAGCCGCTGCCCTTTCTTCTCACCCCGGAGCCGTGGGCGTTGGAGCGGCTGCGATGAACCCGGTGAATGCCACTGCTCTCTACGTGTCAGCGAGCCGCCTGGTGCTCAACTACGACCCCGGCGACCCCCAGGCCTTCTCCGAGGTCACCAAGCTCCTGCCTTACTTCCGACAGTCCCTCTCCTGCTGTGTTTGCGGTGAGGAGCTTTCTATTGTTCGCTGCACAATGAATTCGGGGCCTTGTGTACCCTTGGGAACCAACAGCGCTGAAGCCCGATTATTTTTACACCCATTTAAATGGGAAATGATAACGCAAATCTTACCGTTGTTTAACCCCTTTCCAGGGGTATGGGGCACCTCTATAAGGTGTGACACCTGTTAGGAATCTGTATAGCTTCCAATGAAGTTAAAATTTTTTTCCCCACTCCTATTGCATATTTTCCAGCAACTCCAAAATTGCTCATCTTGTCCCTCAACAAATTGGAGAAATGTAGAAAACATTCCAAGAATGAGTGTGCTGGGAACAAAACCCCTCTAATTTTTGAGGTCTTATAAAATACCCAATAAAGGATTTACCATGAAAGTTTCCAACTCCACTGGAAAACATGCAGATATAAAAACAACAAGGAGTCCGGTGGCAACTTAAAGACTAACAGATTTATTTAGGCATAAGCTTTCATGGGTAAAAAACCTGCATCTGAAGAAGTGAGTTTTTTTTTTACCCATGAAAGCTTATGCCCAAATTAATCTGGTGCCACGGGACTCCTTGTTGTTTTTGTGGATACAAACTAACACGGCTACCCCCTGATACTTGACATGCAGATATAGAAACCTTGCTAATTGAGTCCAAATTTTTTAAGTAATAGCTTTGTGCAAAAAGAAGCATTCAATACCTCAGATCATTGTATATAGTATCTTGTAACCGCTGTGTCCTGTTACAGAGAAGCTGAATTTGAACCAAAATGTTTTGGCAACAGGCAGTGGAACCAAAACATTTACACGTGGGTGTACTGTATTTCCCTGTCTACTTGATTTGCAAAGCAATAGATGTGGCAGGGCAGTTCCAGCAGTGGCTGGGTGCACTGAGTGAGGGGATATGATGCTGTTGGTGGAAATGGAGCTGGTGGCATTCTTGTGTGGATAGATTGGGAGAATGTGCAAGTTGTGGTAGGTTTGTATTGCTAGCTGGGAATGGAGAGTACAATTCTCAGCTGCCTTAAAAATTAGTTGCTCTTGACTGTCTTAAAAGACTTCTGGAAAGTGTGCAGTACTGGGCAAAAAAAAACCAACAACAACAACCGAACATTGGGATGCATAAAGACAATAATACAGAAAGCGTGCTATTATAAAATCAAAGGTATACTGTCTCCTGAAATACTGTGGGTCAGTTATGGTCAGTCTACCTCACAAAGGATATAGCTGAAAAAGAGAACACTTAGCGGTGGGTGATAACAGTGATTAGAAGTAGTGGGAAAACTTTCATTGACAGAACAGGAAAAAAAATTGGGACAGTTTTTTAGAAAGGTGATGAACAAGGGGGGATGTGACAAAAGATACACAAAGCGCAATGGTATAAAGAAAGCAGACCAGGAACTTTTATTCTCCTTGTCTCATAATGGAAGAACAAAGGGACAGTCAGTTAAATTGAAAGGCAGCAAATTTAAAACTGACAAAAATTTTCACATACAGATGCTTCCCAGGTTATGCAAACCCAATTTACGGAAATCCGGACTTATGGAAAAAAGTTCCATAAGTTGCGCCTCCTTTCCTTTTTTGCATAATTGTCGGAGACATGTTCCTGACTTGCGCAAAATTCGACGGAGTCAGGGAGCTTCTGTAACAAATAATTACCCATAGAGTTCATTGCCATAAGATACCATTGTGGCCAAGAGTGTAACAGGATTCAAAAAAGAATTGGACATTCATATGGATAACACAGACATATAGCATTACAGCAGTAAGGATTAAAATAGGCAAAAAATATTTGGAAGGGGTATAATCCCTCCTGCTTTTGGACAGAAATCTAACTCTCACAGGTGGGGTTTAGAATAAAATGCGGATAGGTTATTCCATAACTTCCTACTGTGTCGTTTCTTTAAAACATCTGATACTGGCTGTTATTGGAGACATGATACTGGTCTGATTCAGTATGTCAGTTCCTGTGTTCCATTTTATTTTGCTAATTCAGATCCTTATCCTGCAAAGGCTTATTATGCTTAACTTTATTACCAGGAGTAGTCCCATTGAGCTACTCCTGGTAGTGAAGGTAAGCACATAAATGGGTAATTCAGTTT